TATTAATATAATAATTAGTATTAGTATTAATTATATAATTCCTCGGTATTACGTTTAAATTCATAGTACTTGATAAAATAGATATAATCCTGTTTTATAATCGTAAATAGATTTGTGCATCAACCTAACTCACTGTCTTTACAATCTCAATGCGTATTATTAATATATCATTGATCATAGTCATCATAATTGATGATGAATCTTAGAAGAAAATGATCATCGTAGAACCGTTGTATCTTAACCTTCTTTTATTTTTTTTAATTAGAACCCTTCTTTCAATTATAATTTCATAATTTCATCTAAACGTGCCTCGTATAGTCCTTTCAGTATAAATCTTTCCATAATCGCATTTATGTTTAATCATTATTATAAGAGCAGAAATATATTTTTAATATTTTTTGTTCTCAGAATGCATACGGTGATTAAAGTTTCGTATTACTTTAAGGATATCTTAATAGAGCAATATTAATTAATATATAATCATAATAATGAGACAAAAGCGATATTGTGCGAGCACAATAACAATGCCAATAATTTTTTATCCGTGACAAGTGCATAAGATAAGGTCCAAGATAAGAAAATGATTTTTTCTTCAAAATATATGCGTGTATGTGTATGTGTGAATTAATACGAAGTTAATAAAACATCCACATTTAACGGATTTTTTTGTTGAAAGAACATAGCTGCATACAGAAGAAACATATACATTATTTGATTTTTTTGTGTATATTACATAGCAACGTATGCGCGTATATATGTATGTACATTACACAAGCAATGAATTAAGATGGTTATGTAAATATACCATTTCACACCATTTTTTCTATACTTTCTTTCTTTTTTTTGTCCTATTTTTTTTGTATATTTTTCTTTTTATCAATCTAGTAATAATAATATTAATAAACAGTGGTCGACTCGATTTGTGCGAACGAACGATGTCGAAAAATCTCCATTTTTGGATCGAACCCCTCCTTTTCTTTTTTTTACTCCTATCACCCTTTACGCATTTTCATATTTTTTTTCATTAGTCTCTCTCTCGAATATTAATCTTACGTTACTTTGCCTATTTACATTTTTTACTCGATGATATTCACGCCAACGTGAAAGAACACTGACGTATGCGATATATGTTTATTCACGCCGCAGACGGTGGGAAAATATTTTCGACATTATTTCCAAATGAATTACATCGTTTCGAGAATCCTCATCTTTGAATTTTTACTATTGATTCGACGCTGTATTTTTTCTGTTTACCTTTTTTTTTTTTATTAAGATACACGAAAAACCAAATAAACAATTTAGCGAATAACTATTTTTTCCCCATTTAGCGATTTTTAATTGAAATATCTTTCCTGCGTCTGCTTACACATTCTTAAAGCGTTTACGTAGATATTCGTAAACGAGATCTACGAAAGAGATTAGGTTTTTTATTTATTTTTTGTATTTTTATTATTTTAACTCGAACAGATTCACCTATGGTGATTATTATTTACTCATAATTAGTAATTTTCTGCAATATTATTTTTCTTTTCATTTATTAATTAACTAATTTTTTTTTTTCAGTTGTTTCATTTTATTTTTATAATTATTTGTATAAAACACGAGATTATCTGAAAGCAAGTAATTCGATAGAACGAAATGCCTTTTATCAACAATTTTTTGTATAATATAATAATAATATTATGGCGATAGTACAACAATGTGTTCCGAGAAGTTAGATCACTCGAAAAATCTCGAGAGTCTTGGACAATTGCAAAGAATGCGCCATTTTCGTACGCCTTTCTTTGTATCTTTTTTAGATTTCCAAGCAAATTCTAATTAATACATAGAAGTCGTATGAAATTAGCATCCTTAAGAATTAACTATGTTCTTGTTTTTTTTTCTCACATTTAATTTGTCGCTTTTATCCTTACAGATATCGAACTGGTTTACAGGAGGGAACATCGAATGTTTCAGGCCTTTTGAAGTATACTTAGTGGAAATTTCTCTTCTCTGTTTTTAGTTCTAAATAATAATTATTAAATAAAAACCAATTTATAGAGGGAGAGGGAGAGAGAGAGAGAGAATCAAAGATAGAAAGAGAGAGACTGAGAGTGAAAAAGATAATACAAATATTCGTGAAAGAAAAATACATCGAATGCAAATTTTTGTTCTGTTGCAATTTATGTATATAAAAAAGATCGTTTTATTTCTATTTATTTATTTATTTTTATTATTTTTTAATTATATATTTATTCTTTTGTTCTTTTCCTTCTTATCTTTCCTTCTACTTCCTTTTTTTAATTATTTTTTCTATAACATCTCCTTTGTTTTAACACATACCGCAGTTTTAATTGTCAACTCGATTGAACTTATAATGAGTTAAACATTTTAATAACATGATTGATTAAAACATATTTATGTATAAAATACAAAGAAAATTGGCTGCGTATGTATGTGTATATGTATCGTCTTTTTAAAGATCCGACATTTCCAATAAATTTAATCAAAAAAATGTTTTTTCCTATAATATTTATCACTCCTGTTTCGTAATTGGATTTAATTAGAAAATCAATCGAAAGCGTGCAAAAATTGTTAACGTGATTCAAAGTTTCCGTTTATATAGTAAGAAATATATATACAACGATACCGTTGACATAATCTGTGTGTGCGTGTATTTTTTTTCAAGCTTCTGTATAGATTAATAGAAATTATAATCGTATGAAGTATCGAGATTTCCTACTAATCATTTCTATTATTTTTGTTATATATTTTAGTTTTCTTTGACCGAAACAATCGTGTACCTTCGTAATGGAAAATATTTCAAATAGAATCATCACAGGCATAGGATCCATAGACTAAATATATCCGTGTATTCTTCAAATTAAAATGGCAGTTACGACTAGAAGATAGAAGAGCTCAAACTGGATCGATGTTACTTTCATATATGAAATATCATAAATGAAAATAATGACCATCGATCCAAGATCATATAAAGTTGAAATAAAAAAATATCGTACATATGTAAATAGTCTCTTGAAAAATGTATTATATATATCAGCTATTGTAAAAGATAGATAGATATATTTTTATATATTTTCTTTCTATTCTTTATGATATTAATTTCATAAAAACGGACTAATATATAAATGGACGACATGATTTTGCACGTTTTAGTTACGCGAATATACTGTATTTATATATTTATTGTAACCATAAATGAATCAATGTACAACAGAAAATATGGAAAAAATAATTACTGTTTTCTTCAAATATACAAAAGTGTTCACTTTTAATGAAATTATTTTATGCAAATGTGAAAATGAAATTCTTCTTGACTGCTCGGATATTCCTCAATAACGCTAAACAGTCGCTAGTGGCCAAAAATTTCTTTAAAGTGTTAAAAATAAAGTGTTAAATAAATATAATTAAAAAAGAAATAATTAAAAATATACTTTCAGCATTATCGTATAGCATAGTTCATAGCTGACTAGAATAGATATTATTTTACGTACTGCCAATGCCTACTAGATAATTAGTCGATGGATCCTACAACAAATCTCTTAGACCTATTCAATTAAAAGTCTAGAAATAGTATTTGACGATGATCTAGTTAAGGTTCTATTTTATATTAACTCCAATTATTATAATAATCACATATAATAAAGTTACCATTGTAATGGTCAAATTACTTGTTAATAGAAAAGAACGGGTAAGATAATCTTTTGAATATTTTTTTTTCCTTTCTGTTTCTTTCTTTTTTTGCTCTGTAATCTTGGAATTAGAAGGAACCAAACAACCAATGATACTTGTATGCTATTATGGCAGCAGAATTTTGCTACAAGCTTATATCTTCTAGCTAATAATGTTACTGCATTTTCTGTGGTTTGCCGTCAGGTTGAACAGTCACTGTTTGGAACCTGGGTAGACATAGACCAAATTTGCTCTCTATTCCCTTAAAAACAGGCAAGGCTATTTGGTAGCCACCTATATGATCTGGATTTGATGATCGTATTTCATCTACCAATCCTGTAGCAGGAACCCTTTGTTCTGACCCTGTTGGTCGACTGTAATTAAGATTTATTATTAATTCAACTATTTCTACTCGTTTATGTTAATCTATTAATGTTTATATACCTTTTTAAGCAACAGTACTGCAAATACATTATCATAAGCATATTAAAAGCGAATGTTAAAAGTGTTTACATACTACTGTTCATTAATTTATATTTACAGCACAATTAAAGCATTAATTACATGCAGATCAGTATTTGAAAGTTTGTTAGATATAGGATTAAATACATTTCATTAATAAATATGTGAGCACAAGTGTCGAATTCCATCTGTATTAATATAGTTACAACAATAACTTAATTAGTAACTTTATTATACACATTTATATGTATATATCAAAATATTTTATGTCATAATTTAAACATAATGGTATACTACAAATACATGCATATCATTTAATATATCACATATTAATTAATTTATTTAAATAACTCAATCCTCGATATATAAAAAATAATCATTTTCTTGTAACATATTAAATACATGTATTATTTTTATTTAAACATGTTAAGCAGGAATTATATTAATGTGGTATTATTATAATAGTAATACTATTTGTTAATTATTTATATTTAATGCATTTGCAAAAATATTATCTTACTCCAATAACACGCGGCTGCTTCGTACTATAAATTAATTTTCATTTTCACTGCATGCACGTGAAATTTTTTGTCAGCGAATAACGATAAATAACGTGAATCACAATTTATGAATTTTTTGGAATACAAAATAAAATTACTTACGATCCTCCAAAGTCAACTACAAATAACCTTTGCAGCAACTCGTATGTGAAAAGTGTGACACCAAATTGCGGAGAGGATCTGAATACTCGTGCTGTAAGAAAAATAATACAACAAATTATATTTCAATCAAATTCATTGCTGGATTATTGGATTTACGATCTACAGGGTGCTATATGCAGGCATATCCGAAGTATTTGTTCGTATTCATTATTCTTTGTCTAGATAAAGATTTATTAATATATAGGTGTTCAATAAATATGCAATAGACGTCACCATTATTTGTTAATTCATTGAAAATATGATAAATGATATGATAGTTATACGACAATGATATATAAGAATATTTTTCGTTGAAAATATTAACAAAATTGTTTCGTTTCTCGAATTAATTGTTTGGTGACACGTGTGACATTTTACTTATTTATTACGTGGCTGCAATTATAATGATAACAATATATGTATATACATATATAGGATGTCCTGTAACTGATGGTACCAACGAACAAGGGTGATTCTAGATAAAAAATTTAATCGAGAATGTAGAATAAGGCTTTATCTTTGAGAGAAATAAATTGGAAAATTTGTCAAGTAGGCGTGTGCTGTTGATTCAGTTTTCAACTCGTCGAATTTCATTACCTTACTTTCGGACATTTTAGAAAGCATTTTTGTGCTTCTTAATATGTTTGCAAACGTCATCAGTATAATAAAATCTGTTGTATCCGTTCTACTCTTATATTTATCGAATTAGGTTTTTAGTGTTTAGGATTTCAAGCTTAGTCAAGTACACGTATACTTGAAACATTTTCAAATTTACATTTATCAAACAACAAAGTTTCACATGAACAAATTTTATTCTTCACTGTCGATTTAATTTTTCATGTAGAATCATTTCTTTCTTACTTATATCATCAATTATAGGACATCCTGTATATTATTAAGTATATAATGATAGATGTGAAATTCAACAAAATAAAATGAAAAAAATCAAATCATATAAAAAACATTGCACTCAATAATTCACGCTGTATAGAAGAAATTGTAAGTAATACGGTGTAGCGGTGAAATTGGAACAGAAAAAAAAGAAAAGGATTGGTAAAAAAAACATAGAAACAGACAGAAAAAGAGAGAAAGGCAGAGTGTACTTACTGAGAAGTAAGTCGCCAGGTCATTTTGGGGGGGGGAAGAATGGTCGAAGGATGCACCAGGGCCAAATTCCCCGTGCATGCAATCGACCAGATCAAAGTATATTACTAACCGTTAGAATGTCTTTTTAATCGACTAAAGAGAAAGTCTAATAATTTATATAATGCAACTAAAACTAAACATTTTTAAAAGACTAATGCGCTCATAAATTAGGCGAATTGTTTTTATAGAAAATAATAATAATAATAATAATAATAATAATAATAATAATAATAATAATAATAATATTAATAATA